TGGAGCTCGGGATCTCCATCTGTTCTGACAGGTTGGATCAGAAAGTCCCGAGCTCTGTTATGGCAAGGTTTTTAAGGAGTAAAGGATGGAGGGTGGGTGTGTGTAGGGGAATTCCAGGTCCAGATGGGGGTTAACTCTTGATCAGGGAGGAGTGGGGCAACAGAAGTCTTGTCAAACAGGGATTGGTACTGGCATTGCTGCAAGGAAACTGTCAGCTGGTATACAAGTTATGTAAGCTATCCTTAATGTTCTGGAGCATCTAGTACTTGTTTGGCTCAATTCTGATTGGTCCCTGGACTTGGGTAAGGCCTAGTCCCAGTATTGCTAGCCTACAGCCTGTCATGGCTGCACTGATATCAAGTTAGGCCTCCTCAGTGAAGGCAATTAGCTATGCTTACTGAACTGACATGAAATTATTCAGGAGGAGTCCAGAGTTGATCTGATGTGCTACCATCAGCCAGGTTGGTAACCAGCCACAGGTTAGAAAACTTGTAGACCCGGACTAGAGTTGCAGGAAGGTCAACCCTTTGTATTTTGTAATGTTCTATACCCTCATGGGAGGAAGGAACTGGTAGCAGGGTAGCAGGATTTAAATTCCAGCAAGTTTTGTTTGTTTGTTTGTTTGTTGTTTTTTGAGACAGGGTTTCTCTGTAGCTTTGGAGCCTGTCCTGGAACTAACTCTTGTAGACCAGGCTGGCCTTGAACTCACAGAGATCTGCCTGCCTCTGCCTCCCGAGTGCAGGGATTAAAAGTGTGCGCCACCACTGCCCAGCCCCAATTCTGGCAAGCTTTTATAGTAATCTGTGGCATTTGTAAGAGGAGAGGCTGGTATTTGTTGAATGAGACCCAGGGGGAGGCCCTCAAGTTGAGAAGTTCAAAGGCCTGGAGGGGTGTGTGACCTACAATACTCTGTCCCAGAGTTAATTTAGAGGCTTCTCTATCAAAGTTACCAATGTCTTGAGTGAAGGGGGTTGGCCTGAGCCCACATCTAGTGAAAGATAGCTGGATGTAAACAGAGACTGCCCTTTTGTTCCCAGACGCCCAGACCTGAATAATCACACAGGAACTATATTAATTACAATACTATTTGGCCAATAGCTTAGTCATATTTCTTGCTGGCTCTTACATCTTGAATTAACCCATTTCTATTAATCTATGTATTGCCATGAGGAAGCGGCCTACTGGTAAAGTTCTGTCCAGCATCTGTCTAATTTGGCAGCTACACAGTCTCTCTGACTCTGCCTACTCTCTCTTTCTCTATCTCTGTTCTGATTTCCTGCCTGGTTTCACTCTACTAAGTCACTGGCCCAAACAGCTTTATTTATCAACCAATAAAAGCAGTACGTACACAGAAGGACCTCCTACATCCACTGGGTGCTGGGAGGATCCCAAGGTTTGGATTAACACTGTGGCACTATTGCCTTTTGCTCATATATATAGAGAGAGGAAAAAAGGTTTATTATGGTCAAGGACACAAGCATTCTGGACTGAAGGAACCAGTGGACTAGGTCTCCCAAGGCCTCATGGGACTTAGTTGTCAGACTGAACTTGGGAATCAATATGCAAAACCCTACTATGCCCAGGAAGAGCCTTAGCTGGTTTTGGTAGCAGGGTCCCCATAGTTAAAGAGATTCTTTGCTGTGACTTGAAGGCTCCTTGTGCCTAGGTTAGTGTAAGTTCTAGGAACTAGACTTTTTATAGGACTGTTCGGGCCTTTTTGAAACTGAGATTCCAAATTCATCTGAGGGCAAGGTTTTGAGGATTAGGGCAGAATGTTGACCCAAAGTGGGTCCATTTAGGCTGGGATTAATAAGCCATTTATATACTGAAAAAGACGACACCCAGGGCAGGGATTTTCAGGGGGACAGGACTCAGGCTCAGGTCTGTCTAACAAGGCAGGGACTCCTGAGAGTCCTGTGTGGAAGTCTAGATGGCTAGGAATGTAAGCAAGGCACCCTCAACATCTCACACCGAGAACTAGGTAGTATGGATCTCACACCGAGAACAAGGTAGTATGGGAGGACATCATGCCCAAAAGGTCTAAGGACTGGGAACTCTCGGCAGGATCTGGCCCACAGCCTCCCTTTCGGCCTTCACACCTGAGGCTGTCCTCTAGGATAAGTTTGATCTCCTCATTGCCAAGGCAGGCCTATTGTGTGGAGGGTTACGTGAGTGCCTAGCCCAGAAGCCAGGCTGGAGCTTTCCTTCAGGCTCTAAAGGGTATGGAGGCTTTCAGGGAACAGGATCAGGGTCCTTAAGGGCAGTTGTGACGGGAGTCACAGTTAGCGAGCTTTCAGGAATGGTGATATCCAGACTTTGGGAGGAGCTTGCCAGGCGGCAGATGTCTGCGGTAACCTTTATGGAGATGGACTGATTTGTCACAGAGCTGTGGTCCAGCACCCGAATTGGGTAAACTGCCTTTGATTCCAGCCCCAAGGGACTTCAACATGGCCGCTAAAGGCGCCTACAGAGAGGTGCACATATCCTTCCCTACACACACATAAACAAATTTTTTTTGGAGCTTGCTCTGTAGATCAGGTTGGCCTCAAACTCACAAAGATGTACCTGCCTCTACCTCCCGAGTGCCAGGATTAAAGGCGTGCACCACACCCAGCCAACAGTAAGGTTTTATATTAATTATATCACAACTTGTCTGTTTCAGTGTTTTTTCTGTGTGTATTTATGTGCACCCCATGTGTGCCTGGTGTCCTTGGAGGTCAGAAGAAGGCACCGGACTTTCTGGAAGTGGAGCAATGGCTGCATGTGAGCTACTTCGTGGTCCTGCTATCAGGACCGCTGCAAGAGCAGCCAGTGCTCTCAACCACTGAGCCATCTCTCCAGCTCAGAAAACATTTTAAAGGCTGACGATTAGTCACTGACAAAAGAAAGAAAGAAAGAAAGAAGAACGTTTACTATGTGGCAGAAAAAAATAAGAGATAATTATAGTATTTCTATGGAAAGATCTATTTCATGAAAAAGATCTAGTCATGGTGGCACAATGACTTTAATCTCAGCACTCAGGAGACAGTGGCAGGCTGATCCCTGAGTTGAAATCAGCCTGGGCCTATATAGTGAGTTTCAGGACAACCAGGGTTACACTGTAAGACCCTGTCTCAATAAACAAACAAGCAAGTAATTTCCCCCACCATCTTCCTTAATTCCTAAGGGGAAAAGGTTGAGATTTTTTTTATAACATTCTAGCTCACATCACAAAGCAAGGGCTGATTTTCCCAATACCAGATTTTATTCAAACATACAGAAAAGACCAAGAATTCAGTCAAAAGAAGTAAGGCAATATTTATAGACAATGAATACAAGCAGCATTCAAATATACTAAACTTTACTTAGAGATAAATGCAAATTAAATCTATACTGAAATACCACTTTTCACTTAGCAGACTGACAAAGATCAATTTCGCTATTGAGTGCCAAGTTGCCTCACACAGGGGTTGTATCAGCTTCCTCTCTAAGGCAGTTTGGCGCTGGCTTGCACAGTTACAATTGCGCGGGTCTTCCTACCCAGCAATCCCATTTCTGCGGGTTCCCTGCTGTAAATGGAGACTGCTCGTTCGTTTCCCAGCCGCCCAGATCCAAATAATCACACAGAAACTGTATTAATTATAACACTGTCTGGCTGAAGACTCAGGTGTATTTCTAGCTACCACTTACACCTTAAATTAACCCATTTCTATTAACCTGTGTATCGCAATGAGACCGTGGCCTACTGGTAAGGTTCCAGCATCCTTCTCCTTCGGCAGCTACATGGTGCCTTGTGGCGCGCTCCTTGACCAGCAAGGAAGAACGACCACGAAGTCGAGGATCCTTCCCAAATCACACTTTATTGGAGCCCCTTGGTTGAAGGGAGAGCGGGGAGCGAGAGAGAGAGAGAGAGAGAGAGAGAGAGAGAGAGAGAGAGAGAGAGACAGAGAGAGAGAGAGAGAGAGAGAGAGAGAGAGAGAGAGAGAGAGCAAGAGAGGTGGGGGGGCGAAAACCAAGCGGCAGCTGCTTTTCTAGGGTGGAGGGACTCGGATACTGTCCTGATTGGTGAATACCATTCTGCTGGTGCTCAGGGCCTTGGGATTGGCTAGGGACAAGGCTCAGTTGTGCAAATGCAGGCAAAGGGTACTCAGCCCCATGTGGCAACTTCAAAAGGATTTGTTTACCTCCAAGCTGCAGGACCGCCAGCGCCATTTTGTAATGGCGATATCCGGACGGCTCCTTACAGTGCCTTCTTGACTCCGCCTACTCTCTCTCTATCTCTCTTCCAGCCTAGCTATCAATGCAGTTTTATTCGTTAACCATTAAGAGCAACACATATACAGAAGAACATCCCTCATCACCCTGCAGATACATCCACGTGTAAAGCAGAAGTCACATGACAAGGGGCTCTACAGCTGTGTTGTCTGGAATAACAAAAGATCAAAAGCCCCTGAAATACAAACAAGCAATAGATTAAACGATTTCACTATACAATGCTGTACAAAAACAAGATAATCCCTTAAGATATGAATACATTATATTACCAAGTCCTCAAGTTGGACCTTTTGTTTTTGTTTTTTGTTTTCTCAAGAGAGGATTTCTTTGCATAACCTTGGCTATCTTGGAGACCAGGATGGCCTTGAACTCACAGAGATCCACCATCCTCTGCCTCGAATGCTGGGATTAATGGTGGCATGCACCCCCATTACCCAGCAGACTTTCTTTTTAATTTTTTTTCTTACTTAGATTTTATTCATAATAATAATGTTAATTCTGCAATCCAGCAAGACTTGGAGGGGAGTAAGGAGAATATGGAAACCAAAGAACTTCAGTGAGACCAGAAATTGCAGGGTTTTGCGGGCAGATGAGGTGGGGGCGCTTTCCTGAACTACAGAAGGAATAGCCTGGTGGGCAAAAAGCCTGCAAGTCAAAAGAATTAGAGCTGTCCACTGTCAGAAATGGTGATCTTCTTGCTGGTTTTGCCATTCCTGAACCCAGAACACCACATGGCTTCCACATGTTCATGCCTTCTTTTGTCTTCCAAAGACCACGTGTTTGCCATCCAGCCCCTCATTCTTGGCGGTGCAGATAAAATACTGGGAACCATTTGTGTTTGGTCCAGCATTTGTCATGGACAAGATGCCAGGACCTGTATGCTTCAGGATGAAGTTCTCATCCTCAAATTTTTGTCCGTAGATGGATCTGCCACCAGGGCCATTATGGCATGGCAAGTCACCACCCTGGCACATGAATTCTGGAATAATCCTGTGAAAGGAGGGACCCTTATATCCAAAACCTTTCTCTCCAGTGCTCAGAGCATGGAAGTCTTCTGCTGCCTTTGGAACTCTGTCTGCAAACAGCTTGAAGAAGCAGCCCTTGGGCCTGGAGAGATGGCTCAGGGGTTAAGAGCACTGTCTGCTCTCCCAGTGGTCCTGAGTTCAGTTCCCAGCATGGTGACTCACAACCATCTATAATGAGATCTGCTGCCCTCTTCTGGTGTGCAGGCAGAACACTGTATACATAATAAATAAATCTATAAAAAAGAAGATACAGCCTAAGGGCTCACCATCAGTGGAGACTTGGAAGAACACGGTGGGGTTGACCATGGCTACAGCAAGCCGCTACAGGAGACTGCAGTATCTTTTATTTTTTTAGACACCTTTTTAATGCAACTCAGGCTGGCTTCACATTCACTATCTAGCCAAGAATAATCCAGAATTTATCTTCCTGTCTCCACCTCCCAAGTGCTGGGATTACAGGCATTTACCATGACTTCTGGCCAAAAACAATTAAAAAATAATAATAATGAAGAATTAGCATGGGTAGATATACATCTAACAGCAGCTAATGAGGAAACAGAGGAAGACTAAGAGTATATGACTAGTAAGGCGAGTCAGCGAGATGTCTCATGCTGAAAAGGGGTTGAAAGTGTTGCTTAGCCAGGCAGTGGTGACACACGCCTTTAATCCCAGCACTCAGGAGGCAGAGGCAGGAGGATCTCTGTGAGTTCGAGGCCAGCCTGGTCTACAAGAGCTAGTTCCAGGACAAGATCCAAAGCTACAGAGAAACACTGTCTTAAAAAACAAAAACAAGAACAAAATAAAAAAAGTGTTGCTTAATGAAAGAGTATATCTGGCATGTGGGATTCAGGGTTCAATCCTCATCCATTTTTTTTTTTCCGAGACAGGGTTCTATCTGTGGTTTTGGAGTCTGTTGTGGAACTAGCTCTTGTAGACCAGACTGGTTTCAAACTCACATCAATCCTCATCATTAGAAGGAGAGAAAGAGCCGAGTTGTGGTGGCACACACCTTAATCCCAGCACTTGGGAGGCAGAGGCAGGCAGATCTCTGCGTTTGCGGTCAGCCTAGCCTACAAAGTGAGTTCCAGGACAGCCAGAGCTAAACAGTGAAATCCTGTCTCAAAAAATTAAAAGAGAGAGAGAGAGAGAGAGAGAGAGAGAGAGAGAGAGAGAGAGAGAGGCTAGAGTAGTGGGGAGGGAGAGAAGAAGGGAGAGAGGAAGCAGGGAGAGAGGGAGAGAGAGAGAGAATTATAAACTAGTCCAGCATGTATCTCAGTGGCCCAGCACATTCTTAGCATACAGCAGATCCTGGAGTCTGTTCCAGCACATACATTCCAAATGAGTAAAATAAATGTGACAAAATGCCTATCTCTAGAAATATAAACCAGGTTCCTGGGTTGGTGATGTAGCTCAGAGGTACATGAACAGGGCTCCCACCTGTAATCCCAGTGCCAGTGAAGCAGAGGCAGGAGTAGCTCTGGCGTGCGTTGGCCAACTAGTCTATCCTAATTGGGGGAAGGGCTCCAGGTTCAACAAGAGACCTGTCTCAAAAGTTAAGGCGGAGAGCCTGGCAAGACGTCTCAGTGAATCAGTGCCAGTGAATCAGTGCCTGCCTGGGTTTAACTTGAGCTGAGTTTGATCTCTGGAACTCCTGTAAAGCTGGGAGGAGAGAACCAACTCCACAAAGTTGTCTTTGACCTCCACACATGTGTCATGGCATGTGTGCAGACACCTACACAACAACAATAAATAAAAAAAAATCATGTAGAAAGCTAAGGAGAAAGAGATCTGATACTGACCTCTGGCCTGCAACACACACACACACACACACACACACATATACACATATACACACACACATATACACATACACACACATACACGCATACACACACACCAAACAACAACACTCCCAGAGTTATACAACAAGATCTGTCTCAAACAACAGCAACAAAACAAAGACTGTGAATCCAGCTTTTGCCATGTCAGAGACAAGAAAGGCTGAAAAGGCATCAGCTAAGAATTCAGTTTGAGAAGCAGGGGATGACCGACAGAGTGACCCCAGAGACTGGAGATGCTTCGGAGGAACGGGATAGATGTCGATGAGCTAGAAGAAACAACTCTGGAGGAGGCAGCAACCCAACAGAAAGATCCACCATATATGCGCAATTCAGAGATGAGGCTTTAAAAAAAAAGTGTGATCCGGGCAGTAGTGGCGCACACCTTTAATTCCAGCCCTCAGGAGGCAGAGGCAGGCGGATCTCTATGAGTTGGAGGCCAGCATGGTCTACAGAATGAGTTCCAGGACAGGCTCCAAAGCTACAGAGACAAAAAGCAAAACAAAACGAAAACCAGTGTGAACACATCCTTTCATTGCATGACCCTTCTCCAGAATGTGAACTAGAGCAGGGTGTGGAGGGAGACTTCCAAGGTTGAAGGACCCCAACTCGTTTTAACCACAATTATACCGTTTTGCAAAGGTTCGCAGATAACAAGCTCAGTTCAGGACCTCCGGAATGCTGAGCAGATAACAAGCTCAGTTCAGGACCTCCGGAATGCTGAGCAGATAACAAGCTTAATTCAGGGCCTCCGGAATGCTGAGCAAAGATACCTGAGGTTAGAGCAAGGACAGCCTTATCTGGATGCAAGACAAGGGATTTATGGACTGGCCATAGAAACAAAGAAAGAGAGGATTGCGAGGCCTGAGTCACGTATAAAGCGGGGCTCGTCACGAGTCAGGGGCTGTGCAATCAGACATCTGGTCGCCAGCCAGGAAAGGGGGGCAGGATAGGAGGAACAGTAAACCGCTGAGTAGTCCCCTCATTGTTATTTAGGTTAAGAATTTACCACCCTGCATCTTGCTTCTGTAAAACCTCGCTTTTTGCTCTCCTATAAGAACCCCTCACCCCCAACCTGCGGGCACGCAAGTCCTCGGAGAGACTTTGTCGCCCCAGGTACCTGCGTATCCAATAAACCTCTTGCTGTTTGCATCCGGCTGTGTGTTTTTGACTGATCTTTGGGCACGGGGTCTCTCCCGAAGGAAGATGCCCACGGGAGTCTTTCAGGTAACAAGGGCGGCCTGAAGAATAATCACTCCAGATGGGGCAGGAACGCGGAGAGCTCTGGAAGAACGAGCTGCCCTGAGTCAGGCTTTCGTGTTCCTGGGACCGAATACCTAAGAAAAGCATCCTGAAAGAGGCAAAGTCTATTTTCCTTCCAGGTTCAGAGCGCTCACTCTGAACGGAGGGCAAGGCACACTTGAGCAGAGCAGTTCACATCATGGCGTCCAGAAAGCAGAGACAGGCAGAGGTGAGAGAAAGTCAAATAACTGATAAATGTATTAAAATGCTCGCACTTACTACCAAATAGGAATATGCAAATTAAATCACCACCAGATGCCATCATGTTACAATTTTTTGAAAAATTAGTTTATTGAGATCAAGTTGGGTGATGGTGGCACATGGCTTTAATCCCAGTCCTTGGAAGGCAGAAGCAGGCATGATCTCTGAGTTCAAGGCCAGCCTGGTCTACACAGTGAGTCCCAGGACAGTCGGGACTATACAGAGAAACCCTGTCTAAAAAAACAAAAATCAAAAAAATCAAAAAATAAAAAAATAAAACAAAAAACCAACCAACTAACTAACTAACTAAGTAAAATCAAGTGTTTTAAATTAGGGATGGTGGTTCACACTTGTAATCCTAAATGTCTGTGAGGCTGAGGTAGGCATATCACTGAAGGTTGGAGTCCAGCCTGGGCTACACAGCATCTTCTAGGACATCCAGAACTACACAGGGGGAACTGTCTTGAATAAATAGATAGATACATAGATAAATAAGTAAATAAATAAGAAAATCAATAAATAAAAAGTTTTAGTGGGAGAAAGGCGGTAATGTAAACAGAATCAAGCCCTCAAAAGAGCAGTCTGGAGAGACTCTTAGGAGGCATGTGCTCTTCACTCTGAGAGTTCTTCTGTTCTGAGCTATGCTATCCTAGCCTACGCTCTGGTGGTCTTCGAAGAGCCAAACCTCTGGCATGGGATGACCAGAAGTGAGGTAGCTGTGACATCTGGGTGGGGGTCCCTGAGAGCTTCTTGGAGTGGGGCTGGAGGTTATGTGTGCTTGTTCAAAGTCCTGTTGTGTACCTTAGTTTTGGCTAACTTGATAGGAACACAGGAAGAGGGAGCCTCAGCTGAGGAACTGACTCCATCAGACTGACCTGAGGGCGTGCTTGTGGGACATTTCCTTGATTGCCAATTCATTGAGAGGGCCCAGCCCACTGTGAGCAGTTCCACCTTGGGGCAGGTGGCTCTGGGAGGCATGTAGGCATAAAGGCATGTCAGCTGTGAGAGCAAGCCAGTTTCGCAGTGTTCCACCATGGCTCCTGCTCTGCTGCGCGAGTGCCTGCTCTGACTCCCCTCAGTGATCACCTGCCATGGGGCGTGCGAGCCAAATAAACCCCTTCCTCCCCGAGTTGCCTTTGGTCATGGTGTTCACCACAACAATGAAGAACCAGCCAGGACACCTGGGGCCTGCTTGCTTTTCGGTGTTCTAGAGTCTGTATTTTTCTGATTAGTGGTTTTACATTATGCTCTCTGGATTTAACCTACCCAACCTCCCAAAACAGACGTGAGACTTAAGGTGCCTGCAAAGCAAGCTGACAATTACAAATGACACTGGGGAATCCACGCACCAGCTCCTCAGATCGGTGACAATCTAGTGTGAAGAGGGGAATGGTGGACCAAGGATGAAAGCACCTCCAGTCTTCAGAAGCATTCCAAAGAACACTGTTCACTTGTTTTGAGATAGGGTCGCCATGAGAAGTCCAGGCTGGCTTCAAACTCATGGTCCTGTGTCAACCTCTGGAATTCTGGGGTTACAGATATGCGCCACCAAACCTGGCTGGACGCTTTTGCAGACAAATGTTTGGAAATGTTCTGGTCTTTAAGTTACTTTGTTTCTAATAACAGTACATGTGCCATCTTTAAAAACAAAAGCTCCTGCCAGGCATGGTGGCATCTACTTGTAATCCTAGCATTTAGGAGACAAAGCAGAAGGGTCAGGAAATCAAGGTCTTCCTTCGCTACACACAAGGAGCTCAAGGCCAACCTAGTAAGGCAACCACGAGACCCTATCTCAACAGAGTGGACAAACAACAAAATCCTTAGTTGCACACTTAAAAATCTACAGAACGGAGGCAGGAGAGATGGCTCAACGGTTAGAGCACCGACTGCTCTTCCTGAAGTCCCGTGTTTGAGTCCCAGCACCCACATAGTGTTTACAGCCACCTACAACTCCACTCCAGTTCT